AATATTGCAATGTGAAATGCTCCCTGTTAAGGATTCCAGCCACTTAATTGGATTTCCTCTCCCAGTCAGTCAGCAACCTGTGATCAGGAGGGTTATACTGATCCTATTTTACTTCCTCCCAAGGTATGTTTATATTACCATAAACCTTGGGTTCAGCTGGGTTAGTATTTCCTATGCGCTCTTCCAGCAGTCACCAGCCAATCCTTCTCCAATGCCAGAAATACAGCTTAATGGTGTAACATTAGAAAATGATGATCATTTCTGCTACTTTGGCAGCTACCTCTCCACAAAAGTCAACATTGATACTGAAATACAACACCGCCTGAGCTCTGCGAGTGCAGCTTTTTTCTGAATGAAGCAGAGAGTGGTTGAGGACCGGGACATCCGTAGGGATACCAAGGTGCTTGTTGTCCGGATGCCCGACCACTGTCTCCCAAAGCAGTTGTTCTACTCTGAACTCAAGAATGGAAAATGGAATGTTGATGGGCAGGAAAAAAATTTAAAGATGGGCTCAAAGCCAACCTTAAAAACTCTGGCATAGACACTGAGAACTGGGAAGCCCCGGCCCTTGAGTGCTCCAGCTGGAGGTCAGCTGTGCTCAGCAGTGCTGTAGAATTTGAAGAGGCACGAATGGAGGGCGAAAGAGAGAAATGTGCCAAGACCAAGGCCCATCAAGCCAACGCTGATCGGGACCGCCTTTCACCTGGAAACAGATGACCTCACTGCGGGAGAAAATGCAGATCAAGAATAGGGCTCCACAGTCACCTACGGACCCACCAATACACTGATCTTGGAAGACTATTCTACTCGGACGAGGGATTGCCTAAGTAAGTAAGTATCTCCTATGTACCTATGGTTCTGTTTTGGTGGGCAGAAGGTATAACTGGACCTCTTATTACATCTCTTGGTAATATGAAGTAGTTTAGCCAAGATTTCTATTGTATCTCTCAGCAGTTTAGAGAGGAGAACAATAGGTGTGGAAGTATTGTGTGCTCCTTCCACTTCCAGTACACAAATCAGATTCTTCCCCTTAGGAATCCTTTAATTTTGAACATGCCATAATTTAAACCAGGCTCCAGCAGGTAAAGCTGGTTTGATGCATATGAGATTCTGCCATCCTGACCTCCCATTTTTGTTTACATAAAAACCAGCAGTCAATAGTAAAATCATTGCATCTGATATTTTATGTATTATTAATCACTTCCATCACTAAGTCTGGGGAAAGTGGGACTGATCTGCAGAAACAATATATCTAGTGCTCACAATAGCACAAATAAGCCTGGCTGCCCATAAGCAGACGGCTGCCTCGAACCTGCTACGCTTTCATTTCAAACTTCAGAGATCCCACGTGTTGCGGTCTGTGACTTCACTCATTACTGCTAGAGAACGACAAATTTCTTTTAATATGCAATCTAAACTACAGTTCATTGAAGGAAAAGAAACAAGATGGTCCGGTTACAATAATGACCTTGTTGACAGAAAGGAACTACTTATACAAATCCTCAAGGCAGTGCATAGCTCTGAATGTTTATCATAACACTGGCTTGAGTAAAAATGAAAATTCAGTAAAATCCCTTAATTTTCTTTATGATGCTCTACACTTTATTTTTAGCCATATTTTTCTCCCAGAAGAAAGATCCCTGAGTTTTTTTTAGATGTTTATATTAGGGAGGAAAGTCAAAATGATCACAGTTGTGTTGCGTTCTTACAAGTCAGGATCCTCAAGAAAAGAATGGAACATTGAAAATGTGGGCTTAATGAAGATCTACAAAATCCAGAAGATCTTGACCCATTTTTGAAATTGTGCCAATCAATCCATTTCCCATTTCTGAGACAAAAATAAGGCTTCTCTTAACTGCTTTTGCCACATTGCTACGCTCCCTTATACATGAGCAACTGCGCCATCTACTAACATAGTTAAGATTGCCGTTTCTATGGTTCTATTATTCAATAAAAAATACTGAATTTAATGTGACATAGTATAAGGGATGGATTAGTGGGGTTGCACTCTAAGGCTCTATTTACTATGTCTTGACCAGTGTAGCAACACTGCAGATTTTGAAAGCTCAGTAAGAAGGCCAGATTTAAAAAGTTCTTACTTTTTATGCTAATGTAAAGGAATTTAATCTAATTTGACTCTTTAGTCTACCTAGACACATTCCTATTTTATTAATATGTGAATTATAAATATCAATAGGTCACTAGTCAGCAGGGCCGTGGTGGTGTAGGGCTGAGCTGCTGAACTTGCTGACTGAAAGGCTGGTGGTTTGAATCCATGGGACAGGGTGAGCTCCTGCTGTTAGCCCCAGCTTCTGCCAACCTAGCAGTTTGGAAACATGCAAATGTGAGATCAATAGGTACTGCCTCAGTGGGAAGGTAACAGCACTCCATGCAGTCATGCTGGCCACATGACCTAGGCGGAGTCTACAGATAACGCTGGCTCATTGGCTTAGAAATGGTGATGATCACCACCCTCCAGAGTCAGACACGACTAGACTTAATCTCAGGGGGAAACATTTACCTTTTTAGCTAATCAGATGGGACATAAATAAAGCCTACAACCAGGTAACATGGGGTGAAACAACAACAGTCTAGTTGTAAAATTTATTTGTAACAAATACAAGACAGAGAGAAAACCAAAAGGAATAGAGAAAAATCCACAGTAGTGGCTTGACTAGTAGTCGAAAGCTTTGTTTGCCATAATTAAATTCCTGAATTTCTAGTTCTCAGGGGAAGCTTGTAAAACCTCCCTGCCTATTCTATAAATGATTTGTGTTTACTTTTTGTTAATTGTTGGAGCGTTTATACTATGGCATGGGGAGATTTTGTGGGGATTAGTTGTGAATATTTCATTTCTTCCATCTGCCAAACTTGTAATGAACAAATCAAAGCTTAGGGAAAATCCCCAATCTTACTAGTTTCCTTTTGAGCAGATTTACAGGCTTGGGATACAGATGTCACATGTACATGTTCTTTTTGGGGAAAAAGATTTCACTTTCAGCACTTGTTTCTGTTGAATCATACAGCAGTGATGTCTGGGTCTGATGTTCAACATTAATTCCTTTGTGACTAAAGCAGCAATACAGAATTATAGAAATTGAGAACGGTGCTATTTTTGTCCAATTAAAACTTGATGGCATCTTTGGATTTTGCCCATTGCATAGTTCTACGGCATGGGTAGGGAAGTGAATCCTGAAGCTGCCTTTGTCATCTTTAACTGTTCCAGACTCCTTGGATCACCATTTTTCTCACCAAAAGAAAGGAACCTTGAAACCCCCAGTAGTGGATTTACATATTCTAAATAGGCTGAAGAGCCCTTTTGCACTTTATAATAATTAAAAAAGTCAAAAGAGGTGGACTTCTAGAAGATCCCCATGGCTGAAAAGCTGAATCCCACATTCGCTAGTCCTCCCTCATGGCGAGCGGGTTAAACCGCTGAGCTGCAGAACTTGCTGACCGAAAGGTTGGCGGTTCGAATCTGGGGAGTGGGGTGAGCTCCCGATGTTAGGCCCAGTTTCTGCCAACCTAGCAGATTGAAAACATGCAAATGTGAGATGAATAAATACTGCTTCTGCGGGAAGGTAACGGTGCACCATGCAGTCATGCTGGCCACCTTGGAAGTGCCTACAGACAGTGCCGGCTCTTCATCTTAGAAATGGAGATGAGCAACACCCCCTAGCATTAAATTGGATATAACTAGACTTAATGTCAGGAGAAACCTTTACTTTACCTCCCTCATATGTTCTAAGGACCAGTTAAGTAGAACTGAACCTTATTTCCGATAGCTTTTAACATGCCCCTTCAAATGGTACTTCACCCATTCAATTGTACTGCACTGCAAAAGACATCTAAAACTAAGATAGATTTGGAAGAGACCACAAAGGCCATCCAGTCCAGCTCCCCCCCTCAAATGCAGGAACACACAAAGAACTCCCAAAAGATGGCCATCCAGCCTCTGTTCAAAAACCATCAGAGAAGGGGATGCCACCACACTCCAAGGCTGCGTATTCCATTGCTAGAAAACAAAAAGGCAGCTCTTTTCTCAATATGTTATCTTTTCACCTATTTAAGTATGTCTATCATGCCCACTCTTAACTTTCTCTTCCCAAAGCTAAACATACCCAGCTCCCCAAGCCAAGATTTCCAGACCTATAACTATTTGGATCGCCCTCCCTGGATATGTTCCAACTTGTCAATTTTCTTCATGAATTGAGATGCCCAGAAATGGACAGTATTTGAAGTGAGGTCTGGCCAAAGCAAGAAAAAAGGCGCACTAATCCTTCCCTTGAGCTAGACTATATAATAAAGTCTAGAACTAAATGGTCTTTTAAGATACTGCATTATACTGTTGACTCAGATTAAGAGGGTGAACTGTACAGCCCCCAGCCCACTTCTGAGGTCCATCAATATCTCCCCCACTCCTGTAGCATCCTCTAAAAACTTCCACTTTCTATCAGTTGTCTCCAAGAAAAAGCTGCATTCCTTCCAGCCACACCCCCTCCTTGCCTTTCTCCTCTTCTCACTACCTACATGTTCTTCTCCAGATAGCAGTGGAAGACAAGGATTAGGAAGACAGCAACAGAGACAACATAAATTCAGGAAACCCTTGCTTTCCACTGAAGAAGACATGGGTGTGATTGACATCTCTTTTCAAAATGCTTTGCCTGCTCCCAAAAGCCCTATGGGAGGGTTGACTCATGGAAATGACCTGAGCATACATTCCAAGTGACTTTACTCCTTGGGAGTAAAAATGGCATGTTGAAAGAGTGAATAGCCTTCCACTTATTACATTCTTCCAAAGAAAGGGAGTGAGATTAACTTGCCACTAGTGCTGTCACTGTGAATAGTGGCATTTTTTTCCTGATCTGTGGAATCAAGGGTTGGAGGGAATGCTCCAGTCTAACCATGCCCACCTCCATAGTAGTATTTTGACACTATTATGCTGATCATGTTTCGAAGTAATATTGATTTTACTAAAAAAAAAAAAATACTAATCACACTTTTTGCACAACGTGTTTATTCAGTCCTTGACAGATTACCACTGCGATAGGGCTGTACACAGCTTACAACACAACTAACATCCATGGTGGCAGCATGATTTCTCTACTGCCAATTTGTCACTTCACCAAATGCATACTGAAGAACTTCTAATGATGGCCAGAAGAGGATTCTGAAATAAAAACAGATAGTCTTAATTTAGTCAAGCAAAAAAAGCAAGGTCAACAAGATAACCACACCTTAGCATCAAAGTTAATTGCACTTTTATTATCAGCTGCATTACAAGAGCTGGGAAATGTCACAGATTAGTAAATTGGAACCAACTGTATCTGAGCTACCTTGGATGATAATACACATTAAAATTGCTAACAATTATGTCTGCACATATAGCAAGCTTCCTGCTTAATTATGACTAAGAGAAATCAAAATCTATTTAATAATTATATTCCTAAAAAGATAGACATATCTAGGTATTCTCCTATGAACACAGCATGCTAAAATCTAAGTAGACTGACAGCATAATCATAATAAGCACTTTAAAAATGGCTTAGTGACCTCCAATATTATTTTAATAAGCATTTGTTGTGCTTTTTAAAAATAATCACACTGATAAACATCAAATACCACATTTCAAATATCACTTTTCTGATATAGGAGCACAATCTTGGTATCATCATATATAATAAACTAACTTTACTTTTAAACTAAGTTTTTCCCTAGTAATTACATCATTCTCCATGTTGATATGTGATTCAAGAAGAGCAACAAAATAGTTGAATGATTTATACAGTCAATAAAAAGACTGCAAACTGCAAAAAAAAAAATCTCTGTGATCATCATTCATATCTCAAAGACAAGACGATCGTTTTTTCATCAAAGCGTTATCCCAAAGGCATTTAATCCAAGATTCTACTGATAAACAGCTCGGAGTTTTCCACTTTGAAGCAATTTCAACCCTTGCAGCTAAATAAAAGCTAATTAGTTCTTTATATTTTAGCGATCTGTACTGATTATAAAATAAAGAGAGAAGTCCAATTTTAGGGTCAACCTTAACTGTACGAGTTATTTTGCCAATCATAAGCACTTTTACTTGGAAATTTCACTAGATTCAGGGCTTGCTTCCTATGTGTTTCAAACTTCAGCCTGAGGACATGATCCATAGGCTGCAGTTTTTAGTGTTTACGTATGAAGCTTCTCAAATAAACTGTTAACCACTTTGATAATAAACTACATCACAGGTAAAAAAAAACTTGAATGGGTTGAATTTAAGCCCAAGCAACCAACCTGGTAGGAATGGACTTCAACTCCACCTATGGGTGGGACTCCCAAATGCAACACAATGAATTTTCTCTCTATTAAAACCATAGAGTTGGAAGAGATCTCATGGGCCACCCAATCCAATCCCCTGTCAAGAAGCAGGAAAGTCACATTCAAAGCACCCCCATCCCACCTCTGTTTAAAAGCCTCCAAAGAAGGAACCTCCACCACACTTCAGGGCAGGGAGTTCCATTGTTGGACAGCTCTCACAGTTAGGAAATTCTTCCTCATGTTCAGCTGGAATCTCCTTTCTTGTAGTTTGCAGCTATTGTTCTGCGTCCTAGTCTCCAAGGCAGCAGAAAACAAGCCTGCTCCCTCCTCCCTATGACTTCCCTTCACATATTTGCACATGGCCATCATGTCTCCTCTCAGCTTTCTCTTCTGCAGGCTAAACATGCCCTGCTTTTTAAGCCACTCCGCATAGGGCTTGTTCTCCAGACCCTTGATCATTTTAGTCGCCCTCTTCTGGACACATTCAGCTTGTCAACATATTCCTGCAATTCCGGTGCCCAGAATTCCAGGTGTGGTCTGACCAAGGTAGAATACAGGGGTAGCATGCCTTCCCTGGATCTAGACACTATACACCTATTCATGCAGGCCAAAATCCCATTAGCTTTTTTTGCCACTGCATGACATTGTTGGCTCATGTCTAACTTGTTGTCCATGAGGACTCCAAGATCTTTTTCACACATACTGCTCTCGAGCCACTTTTGCATCTTTGCATTTCATTTTTTCTGCCTAAGTGAAGTATCTTGCATTTGTCACTGTTGAACTTCCTTTTGTTAGTTTTGGCCCATCTCTCTAATCTGTCAAGAGCGTTAATCTCCTGTTATTTGAACCTGTCCCACTTAACAGGCTTCACTAAAGCACTGAGGCAGCACTTTATGGCTTGCAGTAGGGCAGAAAGGGGATGCAAGGCCACTTCTATCAGACCTGTTACATACATCTACATTTGGATCCAAATGAACAGGTATGAGCTCGGCAACATTATTTGCAAACCGGTCTTCATGAAGATAATTCGATTTGACTTTAAGAAGAATAATACTAAATGTAAAATATTTTGCATCATACATATAGTCAGTACTTACTTTTGCTGCCTTCCACTGACTTTTTACCTAAAAACAAGCACAACCAATTAAGAACCCTCAATATATCCTGATGAATTAAGTTACTGAAAATGCCATAATAAAGTCATGTTTCAAATATGATTACTACATGCACAACTGATTCAGTACCTATTTTCTGATTATTTGTAAACATGGCTGGCAAACCCCATGATCTTTAGTTATTTAAAAAACGCTTGCAAAGAAATGGACTACAATACAATTTGATAGCTTTTGAAGATAAAATATTGCCCAACAATTTTATAAACAGAAAACCCGCTAAAATGACTTGATACATTTATGGATACTTAACTTTACATTCTATAGTATTCTTTAAACATTAGCAATTATGCAAATATAGTATTATTAAGGAGAAGACAGAAAGTGGAAGCATAGAATCATACAGTTGGAAGAGACCTCATGGGCCATCCAGTCCAACCTCCTACCAAGGAGAAGGGAAATCACATTCAAAGCACCCCTGACAGATGGCCACCTATCTATATTTTAAGAGAAGAATTAGAAATTTTCCCTGGGCTTATTAGAAGTCCACTATGAATCAATCGGCACCTTTTACAGATTCTTTCATGGGTTGAGGAAAGATATCCCAATGCAAGTTTAAAACAGTTTGTCTCGAAACAGGTCTCACACTAAAATTCCTTGGGATTTAATACAAAATACTACTTGGCCCGTTCATTAAAATTACAGTTTATATAATGTGATTTACACTGTATCAAAGCTCGCTGTTTTGCCTGTTATTTCGCATTTAAGTAAGCAAAAAGAGTTTCCTAATTAAAATTTGTATTCCTGTAGCCACCCACTTGGTTTGCTGCATCATTTGATTCTGTAGTTCACTGTGATTATAATTCTATTTGGCATATATTCAAAATCTTTTTAATTCATAGGTATAATTGCAAAATGCAAGCAATCACACACATCTTACCTCCATAAGAGATCTTGTAATAGACATATCCTGTTAAGATGATACCAACCCAGAGTTCTTGGAATACCTGAGTGTGGTAAATCCTATTGGTGTCCCACCATCTCTGAACAGCACTCCTCAGCATCTGAAAGATGGAAGAAAATGATAGTATTTTGAAGTCAAAAGCAATGCTTTGTCTCAATCACACAGCTCTTGTGTAAGGTCCCAAACTGTAGGTGCTTCAGGAGGATTCTGGGGTAGAGATGTGCTGGAGAACCCAGAGATGCCTAGCAAGGGGTTATCTCATATTTAAACAACATAGTTCTTTTTATTTCACATTTTTCTACTTTCATGGCGGTCCTGCTTCCCCAATCCTTGTAAAAGTGGACAGCCTACTGCATTTGAATTCAATAAGATTGAATAAATGCCATTCTGACGACTTCAACTGGAAGTCTGAATCACATACTAGATTGGTTTTTTTATTTTTGTAATTGTGCATCCCATACTGACTATCTGATAAGGTAGCATTTTAGAATATTTGCTACCTAGCTAAGACATTAAACTGCTATTTCATAGCTGTTGGAAGAATTCCTCAATTCATCAGTTGAGTCCAATTCTGAATGAAACTGTTTGCTGGAATAAGCTGTTATGGATTATAACTTCCATGCCTTGAATAAAGCGTTGAGCATTTGATACCAGTCACAGCTTTAAATGTTGTCATGAAAGATCTTTCAGTAAAAGTTTGTGAGACTTCCTATGCATCCTCGATTTTAAAAACTACATTTTGGAGGAAAAAATGATGTACAATCCCCGTGCCTGTGGGGCATACGTTCCTGCTCTTATACAGAACTGCAGATAATATCAAACTCTTTTGAAATAAAGGATTTTTGGCAGAATAATATCATGGAGATGTGCCTAAAGATGACATATTTTGTCAGACATGAACAAATGAAACTGCTGGTATCAGTCCCACAGATACTGGGATCCTATTGGAATTTGAAAGCAAACTTTGATTGGGATATTAAACACTCTTTTGTAGAGGGACTTTTGTAACTGTTGGATTCTTAGCAATTTATCTCAGACAAAAAAATATGTTTTTAAAAACTTGCAGTTCTTCTGCAAATTAAACTTCTAGTGAAAGGTGACTAGAGTCATGCTGGGGCACCTACATATCTGTAAAAGTTAAAACCTGCAAATGTGGAAGACCAATTATATATGCATCTTCTTTGACAGTCACAGAATCATAGTTGGAAGACTCGTGGGCCATCCAATCCAACCTCCTGCCAAGAAGCAGGAAAATCGCATTCAAAGCACCTCGACGGATGGCCATCCAACCTCTGTTTAAAAGCCTCCATCACATTCCGGGGCTGAGATTTCCACTGCTGAACAGCTCTCACAGTCAGGAAGTTCTTTCCTGTAGTTTGAAGCTATTGTTCCACATCCTAGTCTCCAGGGCAGCCGAAAACAAGCTTGCTCCCTCCTCTCTATGACATGGCAATCATAGTCTCCCTACTCTGGACACATTCCAGCTTATCGACATTCCCCTTAAATTGTGGTGCCCAGAATTTGGACACAGTATTCCAGGTGTGGTCTGACCAAGGCAGAATAGAGGGGTACCATGACTTCCCTGGTTCTAGACACTATACTCTCCTTTTTATGCAGGCCAAAATCCCATTAGCTTTTTAAACTGCTGCATGACATTGTTGGCTCATGTGTAACTTGTTGTCCACAAGGACTCCAATATCTTTTTCACATATACTGTGTTGAGCCAGGTGTCCCCCATTTTGCATCTTTGCATTTCATTTTTTCTGCCTAAGTAGAGTATCTTACATTTAGGAATCTTGCATTTAGGAATCCAGACTGCATCCAGATAGTTAGGAAAAATGGCTGACATGGTCCTGTTCAGGTGGCCTTCCGTTTACGGGAAAGGAAGATGATATATACTTTTATCTGGGTTGTTGTAGGTTTTTTCTGGCTATATGGCCATGTTCCAGAGGCATTTCTCCTGAATGCCAAACCTACAACAAAAAACCTACAACAACCCAGTGATTCCGGCCATTAAATCCTTCGACAATACATTATACTTTTATCGTTTGCACGCTGTGGCTCTCCAGGTGTTTGGGACTTCAGCACCCAGAATTCCTGACCATTGGGCAAGCTAACTAGGGCTTCTGGGAGTTGGAGGCCCAAATACCTGGGGGACCAGTTTGTTCAGGCCTGCGCTAAGTGTACTTTGCTGGTTTCATACAATCATCAAATCACAGTTGAAAGGGAGCATGTATGTTTATGATATACAGCTTGGACTATGATTGCGGGGTTAGGTGAGATGTTTTTAACAGTTATTTAATTGTATTTATAGAACAGAATAAATACAAGGGACGTTCAACCATAGATAATTGCTTTGTCCTGCAGACATAATTCAAAAGTATAATTCAAGGGGGATGAGTCTGTATTCAGCATTTATAGACTTGTCTTCAGTGTTCGACACAATCTGTCGTAACATATTATGGGAAAAGTTGGCTGCCACAAACACTGACAGAAGATTACTTACGTTAATCATTATGCTGTACTCTGACACCGTATTGAAAGACAGACTTGGACCCAGTGAAGCCCTGAGCAATGAAATCAAAACATCAACTGGGGTGAGACAAGGGTGCATTTTAGCCCCTTTTCTCTTTAACTTCTATATAAATGACATCTTAAATATATTATCCTCTGACAGTCTACATGGCCCTAAAGTTTTGTCCAGAACTATTAACATCTTGCTTACGCTGATGACATGGTGATTATGGCAACATCTCCAGTGGGACTGAGAAGATCTCTGCCAAAATTCAATTTGTACAGTGAGCTAAATTCATTCACTACGAACAAGGATAAATCCAAAATTATAGTCTTTGGAAAAAGCAGGAAACGGTACATGTGGTCCCTGAAAGGCATAAATTTGGAACAAATTAATTGCTACAAATATCTAGGCATTATGTTCTCTTCATCTGGTGCTTGGTCTAACCACATTACTCATAGTATACAAAGAGCAACGAAAGCAGCAGGTTCAATTTATAAGCTGTACCATCATATATACCCAGGCACAATCAGACCTGCCCTGAAAGTCTTTAAGACAAAAATAATGCCAACACTTATATTTGGAGCTGAAATTTGGGGGAACATCAATTTGGCCAAGATTGAAGCCTTCCAAGTTAAGCAGCTTCGCACCCTCCTGGGCCTTTCCAGAACAACACTGACGGCGGCAGTAAGGGCGGAGCTAGGAATGCCCCCAGTAAAAGCTCAAATCTTAATGAGACAGTTTAATTACTGGTCAAAAGTAAACTCTATGGATCCCAGTGGACTTCCTCGCCTATGTCTAGAGGATCAAGTCCAGCGTGACCAGAAGTCATCGTGGATGGTGGCTCTGAATAATGAGTTGGCTGGAATCGGCCTGCCTTTGCAATTTCTGGGTGCTCTGGGTCCAGGGGCAGGGCAAGTGCTCAAGGGGCGCACTCGGGATGTCTATGCACACCTGGACCTAGAGAGGATAGGTAGGTCTTCTGCCACAAGGTTTTTAGCTTCCCACAAAAGAATATTCATTTAGAGCACTATCTAACTATTCCACTTCCACTACCCTTAAGAAGATTATATACTAGGGCTAGGTTTGAACAACTCAGTATTATGATGCAAACTGGGCACTACTGTAAGAGAGAGATTTTGCGTATGGAGAGAACAAACTGTGGAAGATATGTCTTGCAGTTCAGTGTATGCTGGACAGTCAATTAAGAAATGTTCACTTAATTGACTGTCCAGCATACACTGAACTGCAAGACAGATATTTACATCCAATATTATCCAACTGCAGGTCCCCCAACAGAAATGATCTTCTGACATCCCTCTTGCAAGGACAGGAAAGATCCATCATAATCAGAGTAAGCCTTTTTATTCTGAAAGCTATCAAGAGGAGAGCAGATTTCCTGAAAGAAGAACCAGGAAAATAAGACTCTGACTGTAAATAGAAGGTCAGCTGCTGTCCTCACATTTTTGCCTTGTTTTTTACTCGTGTTTTATTTTGAAATGGTCATATGACTGGTCAAATAAATATATTATTATTGTTGCTGTTGTATTTATATGTTTTTTTCTTTGATTTTAATGTTTAATGTGTTGTGTATTTGTATGCTTTTACATTTCAATGTGGCATTGAATTATTGCCAAACCGGAAGCTGCTCTGAGTTCCTTCCGGGGTGAGATATCCAATACATACATACATACATAAATAAATATGTATTGGTTCCAGGACCATCTTCTGTGGCAATAAAAATCTGTGGATGCTCAAGTCCCATTGTCTGCAATGGTGTAATAAAATGGTAAAATCATGATGGGGTTTTTTCATATTAAAACAAATTATTTTCAAGCTATGGTTGGTGGAATCTATGGATACAAAGGGTCCATATATTTGTTTGTGTATGTGTGTATTTATCAGGCATGGGCAAACTTGGGCCCTCCATGTGCTTTGGATTTCACTCCAACAATTCCTAACAGCCTGCTAGGAATTGTGGGAGTTGAAGTCTAAAACAACTGGAGGCCCCAAGTTTGCCAATGCCTGATATGTATGTATTTTGCAATAATAAAATACAAGAGTGATCCTCAAGTAGCAACAGGATGATATTTTTCACATGCTGCACTATATATATGTGTGTATGTCTGTTTGTGTGTGTAATATTATATTAAATTTTGACACTAAACTAATCTGCTGGTTTCATATAATCATCAAATCAAAGTTGAAAGGGGGCATGCATGTATATGTATATAGTGGAGCGTCTGGGGATTGTTTCCAGGACCATCTTCTGTGGCAATAAACATCTGTGGATGATCAAGTCCCATTGTCTGCAATGGTGTAGGAAAATGAACCACCCTATGAACCATTTCGGAGTTTAAGATCGTCCGGGGAGGCCCTGCTCTTGGTCCTGCCTGCTTTGCAGGCGCAACTGGTGGGAAAGAGAGACAGAGCTTTCTTAGGGGTGGCCACTCAGCTGCTGACCTTCCCAGCTATGTTAGATCAGACCCCTCCCTCCTAATATTAGAAAGAGAGTGAAAACATGGCTCTGGGATCAAGCCTTCAGAGAAGAACCACAGCGCAACATGTGCAATAACTATCGGAATGGGTCGAGGGATTTAAAACTTTTAAAAAGTGCATCATTGCCAGGACACCAAGACAATTAACCCAAGAATCTAAGACAAAAGCCATGTACAGGATTTTATCATAACCCAACACAATTAATGGAATTAAAAGGAATTCTCATGAGCTGGTCATTGACCGTAATAAAGTGAACTTGAACTACATAGGGACCACCAAACACAGCATTGCCCAAACATGGATCAAGGAACTATGAAAGGCACTGCAGACTACTTCAACCAGAGAAGTCAGCCATAGCAGAGCACCTGATGAACCAACCTGGACAGCATATTATTTGAGAACACAGAAATGCTGGACCACTCTCACAACCACCATGTCAGACTACACAGAGAAGCCATTGAAATACACAAGCATGTGGACAATTTCAACAGAAAGGAAGAAACCATGAAAATGAACAAGATCTGACTACCAGTATTAAAAACTCTAAATTGCAACTGCACAACAGAGAGGAAGCAGGTATGGACATCTAATTACCTCTCAACAAAAGTTTGCCCCAGGCACAGGCAGGCCATTATTTGCTAATCAAGGTGGTCAGTTGAAACATTCACACCTAGCTCCAGCAGACAAGAGTCCTTTGTCTCACCCTGGTCATTCCACAGATATATAAACCCTTTCCTAGTTCCAACAGACCTCACTACCTCTGAGGATGCTTGCCATAGATGCAGGCGAAACGTCAGGAGAGAATGCCTCTAGACCATGGCCATATAGCCCGAAAAAACCTACAACAACCCACTGAACTTGAACTATCAGAATGACCTGAACTATGACTGCGGATTGTGTGGATTATAAAGACAGTCATGTTTTATAACATTTTAATGTATATAATTTTTATTTTTCAAAATTGAAATGTATTTTAATGGTATGCTGTGGTTAAGGCACTGAATCATTGCCTATCTGTAAGCCACCTAGAGTCTCATTCATAGAATCATAGAGTTGGAAGAGATCTCATGGGCCATCCAGTCCAACCCCCTGCCAAGAAGCAGGAAATTTGCATTCAAAGCACCCCTGACAGATGGCCATCCAGCCTTTGTTTAAAAGCTTCCAAAGAAGGAGCCTCCACCACACCCTGGGGCAGAGAGTTCCACTGCTGAACAGCTCTCACAGTCGGGAAGTTATTCCTAATGTTCAGATGGATTTTCCTTTCTTGTAGTTTGAAGCCATTGTTCCGCATCCTAGTCTCCAGGGCAGCAAAAACAAGCTTGCTTCCCTCCTCCCTATGACTTCTCCTCACATATTTACACATGTTTATTATTTATTTAAAACTTTTATATCCCAATCTTCTCTATCTCTGCAGAGGGACTCAGACCGGCTAACAGCAAAGATTCAATGCTAACACTGAAAATCTAAAACATAATACACAACATTAAGTTACCAATTACATTACATAAAATTACATAAAAGCCATTCGCCAAGATAAAATCGTGTCCAACTCAGTCCGTATGTCCAGTCCATATATTGTGATCAGTACCATTTGTCTCTGGTTGCTTCTGGATGCACCCTGAGCCCTGCCACATGCACAATGGAGGACCTTCTTGCGGCAACACCAGAGGCACTCCAAGTGGCCAGATACTGGTCAAACAATATTTAACCAACTACCAAATTTGAAAAATCTGTGTGTTTTTCTTTTCTTTTTAATCTGTGTGTTTGTTTTGCTCTGTTAGAATTGTAATACAATGGTATGGTTGCTGATGACACGATAAATAAAATAATAGTACCATTCATTGACTGCCGGTCTCAGACATCATGCCACAAAAGCTTTGTTGCACAGCCAGGTTTTCACTAGCTTCCTAAAGGTCAGGAGGGAGGGGGCAGATCTAATTTCATTTGGAAGGGGATTCCATAGCCGAGGGGCCACCACAGAAAAAGCCCTGCCTGCGAAGATGGTCTTGGTCGCCTTAATGGATGATCTGCGCCGGGAGCTAGACAGGGGGAGTGTGTCCCTGTTGGTGCTCCTGGACCTCTCAGCAGCCTTCGATACCGTCGACCACGGTATCCTTCTGGGGCGCCTTGCGGAAATGGGTCTTGGGGGCACTGCTCTGCAGTGGCTCCAGTCATTTCTGGAGGGTCGTACCCAGAAGGTGTCATTGGGGGACTGCTGTTCAACACCACAGCCTTTGACCTGTGGGGTTCCACAGGGTTCTATATTGTCCCCCATGCTGTTTAATATCTACATGAAGCCGCTGGGTGAGATCATCCGGAGTTTCGGGGTGCGGTGTCATCTGTACGCAGATGATGTCCAACTCTGTCACTCCTTTCCACCTGCTACTAAGGAGGCTGTCGAGGTCCTGAACCGGTGCCTGGCCGCTGTGACGGTCTGGATGAGGGCGAACAAATTGAAATTGAATCCAGACAAGACAGAGGTACTCCTGGTCAGTCGCAAGGCCGAACAGGGTATAGGGTTACAGCCTGTGCTGGACGGGGTCGCACTCCCCTTGAAGGCGCAGGTTCGCAGCTTGGGTGTGACCCTGGATTCATCGTTGAGCCTGGATCCCCAGGTTTCAGCGGTGACCAGGGGAGCATTTGCACAGCTCCGGCTCGTGCGCCAGCTGCACCCGTATCTCGGGAAGTCTGACTTGGCCACGGTGGTACACGCTCTGGTCACATCCCGCCTTGACTACTGCAACGCTCTCTACGTGGGGCTGCCCTTGAAGACGGCCCGGAAGCTTCAACTAGTCCAACGTGCGGCAGCCATGATTCTAACAGGAGCGGAACGCAGGGAGCATACAACCCCCCTGTTGCGCCAGCTCCACTGGCTGCCGATCTGCTACCGGGCTCAATTCAAGGTGCTGGTGTTATCCTACAAAGCCCTAAACGGTTCCGGCCCAAAATACCTTTCGGACCGCATCTCGGCCTATGAGCCCACGAGGGCCTTGAGATCATCTGGGGAGGCCCTTCTCTCGATCCCGCCCGCCTCACAGGCACGCCTGGCGGGGACGAGAGAGAGGGCCTTCTCAGTGGTGGCCCCCCGGCTGTGGAACGCCCTCCCTGTTGACATCAGACAGGCGCCCTCCCTGATGGCGTTTCGTAAGAGCCTAAAGACCTGGCTATTCGAGAAGGCATTTAATTGAGAGCCATATAAACCTGGTAATGACATTTGGAACGGACTATGGATTATGAGACTGGCTATGATTCCATGTTGTGATGGCGCGGATTTATTTATTAGTGTAATTTAGATTAATGTGTAATTTGATATATTGTATGTTTTGTAGACTGTTTTTACATGTTGTACACCGCCGCGAGTCGCCCCAGGGATTTCTTGCCCAGCAAACCCACCCTGAGAGAAGGAAGGCCAAACCCACCTTGAAGCCTGACGAGAAAGAACGAGGAAACGCAGCGAAGGTCACGACGCCGCTCTGCTTAGCAGCCGCTGCTTCCTATCAGCGCAAGGTTTGCCGGGAAAGGACCCACGCAGGCGCGTTAGAACACACATACGCACTGACGCATGCGCACTCGCTTGGAGAGCGCTTAAAGCAGCGCCCTCTATCCTGGAGGACTTGACATGACAACTTCCTTCAAAGGATGCATTCCACCCTGCAAAATTTATGCGGTTTGACACCGCTTTAACTGTCATGCTATGGAATCCTGGGTTGTAGTGAGGCACCAGTATTCTTGGAAGAGAAGGCTAGAGACCGTGTAAAACTACAGCTCCCATGATTCCATAGTATTGAGCCATGGGAGTTAAAGTGGTGTCAAACTGAATTAAATCTACAGTGTAGATGCAGCCTGATATTATTTCCAGAAGCCATCAGTCACTATGGTGGCCATGATGGATGGGGGATTTTGGGAGTTGGAGCCCCCGGTGGCGCAGTGGGTTAAAGCACTGAGCTGCTGAGCTTGTTGATCGAAAGGTCGCAGGTTCGATTCCAGGGAGCGGCGTGAGCTTCCGCTGTCAGCCCTAGCTTCTGCCAACCTAGCAGTTCGAAAACATGCAAATGTGAGTAGATCAATAGGTACCGCTCCGGCGGGAAGGTAACGGCGCTCCATGCAGTCATGCCGGCCACATGACTTTGGAGTTGTCTACGGACAACGCTGGCTCTTCGGCTTAGAAATGGAGATGAGCACCACACCCCAGAGTCAGACATGACTGGACTTAATGTCAGGGGACTACCTTTACCTTTTGGTCTCAAATAACCTTGCCTAGTTGTACTTGGCTTGGGTGAATTTTGTTTTTAAACAAGGAGGCAACATTAATATATTCATCATCATCATCATCATCATCTCATCATACTTGAACGTGAACCTGACTCAGCACATAGAAGATGGCTTTGAAAGGCAACAGATCATCGGAGCTGTCTTCATAGACCTGACAGTGGCTTATGATACCGTAAACCACCACCTCCTCCTGAGAGAAATGTATAATATCACAAAGGATTACCACCTCACCCGCCTCATAGGAAATGTACTACAAAACAGGAGCTTTTTTGTTGAGTTCCAGGGCCAGAGAAGCAGATGGCGAAACAGAAGAACGGCCTGCCTCAGGGGAGCGTGCTTGCTCCATCCATGTTCAACATCTACACAAATGACCAGCCACTGCCAGAAGGGACAGAGAGTTTCATCTATGCTGATGATCGTGCCATTACCACTCAAGCAGGGAGTTTTGAGAAGATTGAACAGAAACTCTCCGAAGCTCTAGGTACAGCTGATCCCTAATCCATCTAAAACACAGACATGTGCCTTTCACCTTAAGAACAGACAAGCATCCCGAGCTCTGAGGATCACCTGGGTAGGAATCCCACTGGAGCATTGCAGCACACCCAAAAACCTGGGAGTCACTCTGGACCATGCTCTTACCTACAAGAAGCACTGCCTGAACATCAAGCAAAAAGTGGGTGCTAGAAACAATATCATACGAAAGCTGACTGGCACAACCTGGGGATCACAACCAGACACAGTGAAGACATCTGCCCTTGCGCTGTGCTACTCTGCTGCTGAGTATGCATGCCCAGTGTGGAACACATCTCACCACGCTAAAACAGTAGATGTGGCTCTTAATGAGACATGCCGCATTATCACGGGGTGTCTGCGCCCTACACAACTGGAGAAATTACACTGCTTAGCCGGTATTGCACCACCTGACATCCGCCGGGAAGTAGCAGCCAATAGTGAAAGGACCAAGGCAGAGACATCTCCAGCTCATCCCCTGTTTGGGTATCAACCAGCACGTCAACGACTTAAATCAAGAAATAGTTTTCTAAGATCTACAGAGACACTCGCTGGAACACCCAGCAAGCAAGAGTCCAAAAGTGGCAGGCTCAAACCCAGAACCTCAATCCGTGGGTGATACCAAATGAGAGACTCGCCCCTGGGCACACAGAAAACTGGGCGACTTGGAAGGTACTGAACAGACTGCGCTCTGGGACCACGAGATGCAGAGCCAATCTTAAGAAATGGGGCTACGAAGTGGAATCCATGACATGCGAGTGTGGAGAAGAGCAAACCACTGACCACCTGCTGCAATGCAACCTGAGCCCTGCTACATGCGCAATGGAGGACCTCCTTGCACCAACACCGGAAGCACTCCAAGTGGCCAGATACTGGTCAAAGGACATTTAATCAACTTGGTAGTTGATTGCAAACTTTGTGTCTTGTATGTTTGTTTGTTTGTTAAAAAATGCAATACAATTGTTTCGTTTGCTCCTGACACGATAAATAAATATCATACTTGAGCATCTATCCACTTTAATCCACTTTAAATGCCTGGAGAATTCTGAGGTTTGTAGTTTAGGGAGAGGCCTTTTTAGGCAAGCCGCACCCTGGCAGTCTTTAGGAAGAGTCTGAAAACTTGGCTATTCCAGTGTGCCTTCGATGAATGAACAATAATGCCTGACCTTGACCAAACCCTGCATAATAAAATGCCCTCGGAAGCACTTTATCCCATCTTCTAGTGCAATTAAACCTCATTTTTGTCCCTCTGATACTCTGTCTAGATACATTACACGGCCTGCTCACCCAGTGTTTTTAAACTTTTAATGTTTGCAGCTTGCCCTGCCCACTGCCCATTGTGATTTTTTGTGTGTGATTTAATTACTGTGATCTTATATTGTTTGGTGCGTTCATTTGTATTGTTTTCTGTATTTATTTTGTATTTTCATTATATTTTATGTTGTATATTTGCACTAGAAGATGGGATAAAGTGCCTCCAAGATTATGGCAACAAGAATGATTGACAATTGGGAAATAGAGGGAGAAAATGTGGAGGCCGTGACAGACTTTGTATTTCTAGGTGCAAAGATTACTGCAGATGCAGACTGTGGCCAGGAAATCAGAAGACGCTTACTTCTTGGGAGGAGAGCAATGTCCAGTCTCGAAAAAATAGTAAAGAGTAGAGACATCAGACTGGCAACAAAGATCCGCCTAGTCAAAGCCATGGTATTCCCTGTAGTCACCTACGGATGTGAGAGCTGGACCTTAGGGAAGGCTGAGCGAAGGAAGATCGATGCTTTTGAACTGTGGTGTTGGAGGAAAGTTCTGAGAGTGCCTTGGACTGCGAGAAGATCCAACCAGTCCATCCTCCAGGAAATAAAGCCCGACTGCTCATTAGAGGGAAGGATACTAGAGACAAAGTTGAAGTACTTTGGCCACATCATGAGGAGACAGCAAAGCCTAGAGAAGACAATTATGCTGGGGAAAGTGGAAGGCAAAAGGAAGAGGGGCCGACCAAGGGCAAGATGGATGGATGGCATCCTTGAAGTGACTGGCCTGACCTTGAAGGAGCTGGGGGTGGTGACGGCCGACAGGGAGCTCTGGCGTGGGCTGGTCCATGAGGTCACGAAGAGTCGGAGACGACTGAACGAATGAACAACAACTATTTGTCTATTTGCTCGGTTGTACTGTTGTGTGTTCCCTAGACACTTGGGAAGTGTCCAACGTGTGAGCCAATCCAACAGCCAGCAGAGTGTCTGCTGTGGACTCATCTTGTGTTTCTAATAATGATAATAAGAATAAGAATAATAATAATAAGAAGAATATTTATATAACCCACCACCATCTCCCCAAGAGGACTCAGGGCAGCTTACATGAGGCCAACCCAACAGTTGTTTTTGTTCATTCGTTCAGTTGTCTCCGACTCTTCGTGACCTCATGGACCAGCCCACGCCAGAGCTCCCTGTCGGCCGTTACCACCCCCAGCTCCCTCAAGGTCAGTCCAGTCACTTCAAGGATGCCATCCATCCATCTTGCCCTTGGTCGGCCCCTCTTCCTTTTGCCTTTCATTTCCCCCAGCATCAATGCCTTCTCCAAGCTTTCCTTTCTTCTCATGATGTGGCCAAAATACTTCATCTTGGCCTCTACTATCCTTCTCTGCGATGAGCAGTTGGGCTTTATTTCCTGAAGTATCAAGTTCTATCTTAAAATACCCATATTATTACGATTATTATTATTATTATTGGAGGAAACCTTTCTCTTATTATTCTATTCTATTATTATTATTATTGAAGGAAGCCTTTCCCTTATTACATCATCATCATCATCATTATTGTTGGAGGAAGACTTTCCATTATTATTATATTATATTGTCATATCATATTACATTATACTATAATTATATTGTATCATTATCATTATAATTGTTATTCTATTATTTACTATTATTGGATGAACCCTTTTCCTTATTATTATATTATATTATTATTAAAATTGTGGGAGTTGAAGTCCAAAACACCTGGATGGCCGAAGTTTGCCCATGCCTGGTGTAGATGCACCCAAACTGCATTCATTGTATAATGTAGATGCACTCAAAGTGCATTAATTCTAGTGTGAGTTAACTTAATGTGCATTAAATCTCAAGTGTAGATGCACTTAATGTGCATTCAATCTGGAGTGCAGATGCACCCACAGTGCATAAATTTAATAGCGTAAATGCACACAAAGGGCAACAAATCTACAGTTCATAGATGCACCCAAAGTGCATTAATTGTATAATGGAGATACACCCAAAGTGCATTAATTCTAGTGTGGGTAAACTTAATGTGCATTAAATCCAAATGTAGATGCACATAACGTGCATTAAATCTAGAATGCAGATGCACCCACAGTGCATTAATTTAATAGCATAAATGCACACATAGGGCAACAAATCTACAGTGTATAGATACACACAAAGTGCATTAATTGTATAACGTAGATGCACCCAAAGGATATTAATTCTAGTATGGATGCATTTAATGTGCATTAAATCTAGAGTGCAGATGCACCCACAGTGTATTAATTTAATATTGTAAATGCACACAAAGGTGAAGAAATCTACAGGGTATAGGTGCACGCAAAGTGCATTAATTGTATAACGTAGATGCACCCAAAGGATATTAATTCTAGTGTGGATGCATTGAATGTGCATTCAGTATCAAGTGTAGATGCACTTAGTGTGCATTAAAGTGCAGATGCACCCAAAGTGCATTAATTGTATAACGTAGATGCATCCAAAGAGTATTACTTCTAGTGTGGATGCATTTAATGTGTATTAAATCTCAAGTGTAGATGCACATAACGTGCATTAAATATAAAGTGCAGATGCACCCACAGTGCATCAATTTAACAGCGTAAATGAACACAAAGGGCAGCAAATCTACAGTGTATTAGATGAACCCAAAGTGCATTAATTGTATAATGTAGATGCACACAAAGGGTATTAATTCTAGTGTGAATGCATTTAATGTGCATTCAATCTCAAGTGTAGACGCACTTAGGTAAAGGTAAAGGTAGTCCCCTGACATTAAGTCCAGTCATGTCTGACTCTGGGGTGTGGTGCTCATCTCCATTTCTAAGCCGAAGAGCCAGCGTTGTCCGTAGACACCTCCAAGGTCATGTGGCCGGCATGACTGCATGGAGCGCCGTTACCTTCCCGCCGGAGCGGTACCTATTGATCTACTCACATTTGCATGTTTTCGAACTGCTAGGTTGGCAGAAGCTAGGGCTGACAGCGGAAGCTCACGCCGCTCCCCGGAATCGAACCTGCCACCTTTCGATCAACAAGCTCAGCAGCTCAGTGCTTTAACCCACTGCACCACCGGGGGCACTTAGATGCACTTAATGTGCATTAAATCTAGGGTGCAGACGCACCCAGTGCATTACTTGTATAATATAGATGCACCCAAAGGGTATTAATTCTAGTGTGGATGCATTTAATGTGCATTAAATTTCAAGTGTAGATGCACTCAATCTGCATTAAATCTAGAGTGGAGACACAAGCACAGTGCATTAATTTGATAATGTAAATGCACACAGAGGACAACAAATCTACAGTGTACAGATGCACCCAAACTGCATTAATTCTATAGTTCAGATACAGAGCGTCCAGAGGAGAGCGACTAAAATGATAAAATGTCTGGAGAACAAGCCCTATGAGGAGTGGCTTAAGGAGCTGGGCATGTTTAGCCTGAAGAAGAGAAGGCTGAGAGAGGATATGATAGCCATGTATAAATATGTGAGAGGAAGCCACAGGGAGGAGGGAGCAAGCTTGTTTTCTGCTTCCCTGGAGACTAGGACGCGGAACAATGGCTTCAAACTACAAGAGAGGAGATTCCATCTGAACATGAGGAAGAACTTCCTGACTGTGAGAGCCGTTCAGCAGTGGAACTCTCTGCCCCGGAGTGTGGTGGAGGCTCCTTCTTTGGAAGCTTTTAAACAGAGGCTGGATGGCCATCTGTCAGGGGTGATTTGAATGCAATATTCCTGCTTCTTGGCAGGGGGTTGGACTGGGTGGCCCATGAGGTCTCTTCCAACTCTTTGATTCTATGATTCTATGATTCTATACTTTCTCTTTAAATTAGCGCGAGCCTGGGGTTTCAGCTCTTTGGAAAGGAGTGCGCATGCGCCCTGAAGGCGTTTGTAAAGGCGCTAGTTCTCATTATCTCAAATTGGTTCCATCTGCAGGCAGAGGCGCAGAGGGGACAAGAGAGGGGCGGGGCCTGGCAGTTCCTCCCAAGCCTCTTGTTCTTTGGAGCTGGGTGACTGGCTGTGTTTGGAGAAGTTCCTTTTGCTCCAGGCCAAGATGTTGAAGAAACTGACCTTGGACCAGATCAATGACTGGTTCACAATTGGAAAGAAAGTCACTCAGGTGGAGTTTTTGGGGCGTTTTGCTTCTGTCCCTTTTGCTGCTGAGGAGAGTTCGGACACTCAAGAGTAAGTATTTTGATTGGTTGCATTTGTATTGTTTTTCTCTCTCTACATGGCAGAATTAGTGCGGTTGGACTGCATGTTTCAATGCTATGGAAACTTGGGAGTTGTAGTTTGCAGCATTATTTGGCAGAAAAGGCTAAAAATCTTGTAAAATTCCTAACTCCTCTGGCAGCAAGGCCAAAGACCTAGAAGAACTACAATTCCTTTGGTGGGGAAGGCTAAAGGCCTTCTAAAACTACAACTTTCTGACAGGGAAGGCCAAAAATCTCGTAAAATTCCCAACTCCTCTGGCAGACAAGTCCAAAGACCTGGAAGAACTACAACTCCTTTGGTGGGGAAGGCTAAAGCCCTTTTAAAACTGCAACTCTCTGACAGGGAAGGGCAAAAATCTTCTAAAACTACAACTCCTCTTGCAGAGAAGGCTAAAGGCCTTCTAAAACTACAACTCCTTTTGGCAGATGTCAATGGCCTTTTAAAACTACAACTCCTTGCAGAGAAAGCTAAAGGCCTTCAAAAACTACAACTCTAGCAGGGAAGGGCAACAGTCTTCTAAAACTACAACTCATCTGGCAGAGAAGGCCAAAGGCCTTCTAAAACTACAACTCTCTGGCAAACATCCTCTAAAATTACAACTCCTGTGTCAGAGAAGGCTAAAGGCCTTCCAAAACTACAACTCTCTGGTAGGGAAGGGCAAAATTTTTCTAAAACTATAACTGTCAGAGAAGGCTAAAGGCCTTCTAAAACTACAACTCTCTGGCAGGGAAGAGCAAGCATCTTCTAAAACTACAACTCCTCTGTCAGAGAAGGCTAAAGGCCTTCCAAAGCTACAACTCTCTGGTAGGGAAGGGCAAACATTTTCTAAAACTACAACTCTGTCAGAGAAGGGTAAAGGCCTTTTAAAACTACAACTCTCTGGCAGGGAAGGGCAAACATTTTCTAAAACTACAACTCCTCTGGCAGAGAAGGCTAAAGGCCTTCTAAAACAACAACTCTCTGGTAGGGAAGGGCAATTTTTTTCTAAAACTACAACTCCACTAGCAGAGAAAGCTAAAGGCCTAAAACTGCAACTCTCTGATAGGGAAGGGCAAACATTTTCTAAAACTACAACTCTGTCAGAGAAGGCTAAAGGCCTTCTAAAACAACAACTCTCTAAAACAATGAATCTCGGCGACTTTGAATAATTAGCTTTGGCTAGCATAGTAAAAGCCAAGTTTTAACTCTGGTAAAAGTTACATAGAGACCGGAAAATACTGTCCTCACCTCAATCCCTCTAAGAATGCTTGTCATAGATGCAGGCGAAACGTCAGGAGAGAATGCTTCTAGAACATGGCCATATAGCCCGAAAAAACCTACAACAACCTAAATACTGTACTGATTGTACCTTAAATTGGTGTCCTCGGCTGTCTTCTTCGTGCTCTCTGGGGCAGGATGGGAATTCTATATTTTTTGTTCTACAGCAGTGAGGGTTAAATTTAGCTCAGATGTGTTTGCAGGAAAAGTCAATTCTGGCAACTATTTTCATTGATTTTCTGCTCTACTTATGGCAGTTGTGGCCACAGTTCCCACATGTCAATTTCAGACTATTAAAAGGAAACCTTCAATATGACACACGCACCATACGCATCCAACAGCAGATGCTTAGGGCAAAAACATATATATTGAAACATGTTTGTGTGCATAAAATGGAATATTCCGAGCTTTGTTATCTAACTATCAGTGCTTGTGTATCTTTGTCTAATGGTTCTGTATAAAAGCATATAATCCTCTAAAGAAGCGTTAGTCTATTTAAATCCCAACAGCATTGAAAAGCCTTATACTGTTTTCCAAGCAAAGATAGAAGTAGTGGTAATTATTATTACTTAAGATTAAAAACAGTGATGAAAAAAATATTTGCAGCTCTGGAATGTGGACATCGGGTGTTTTAAAACAACTAATTTTTGGTTTTATGGTGTTGAGCTTTGACATTTGCAGCCTGTAGAACGACTCCATCATAATCCTGTGTACTGAAATGTAGATTGTATTGGAATTCAACCCCACTCCAAAACCCCTCTCCAAAATCAGGACAGTAAGTAAAGAATAACATTAAAAAAACAAAGAAATTCCAAAGATTGGCACATTTTGCGTGGCCTCATTGTGAAGGGAAGCCAATTGCTGTGGAAATGTCCTTTTGTAGGTAAAAAAAGTGCTCAAATCGGGGCCAGCTAATGCCTCCCAACAAAGGATACCTCTAGGCCAGTGTTTCTCAACCTTCCTAATGCCGTGACCCCTTAATACAGTTCTGCATGTTGTGGTGACCCCCAAACATGGTGGGGTTGTGGGGGGGGGGGGGTTGTTTTTTCATTTGGGTGTTGTAGTTGCTGGGATTTATAGTACACCTACAATCAAAAAGTCTTCTGTACTCCACCAATGGAATTGAACCAAACTTGGCACACAGAACTCCCATGGCCAACAAAAATACTGGAAGGGTTTGGTGGGCATTGACCTTGAGTTTGGGAATTGTAGTTCACCTACATCCAGAGAGCACTGTGGACTCAAACAATGATGGATCTGGACCAAACTTGGCACAAATACTCAATATGCCCAAATATGAGTGCTGGTGGAGTTTGGGGAAAATAGACCTTGACATTTGGGAGTTGTAGTTGCTGGGATTTATAGTTCACCTACAATCAAAGAGCATTCTGAACCCCACCAACAATAGAATTGGGTCAAACTTCCCACACAGAACCCCCATGACCAACAGAAAGTACTGTGTTTTCAGATGGCCTTTGGAGACCCCTCTGACACCCCTTCGCGACCCCTCCAGGGGTCCTGACCCCCGGTTGACAAACACTTCTCTAGGCAGTAAGCAACCAAGCTTTGAGGCCATCCAGTGCTAATCAAGGTGGCCAATTGCAGCATTCACGCTTGCCTCCAACAGACAAGAGTTCTTTCTTCCACCTTGGTAGTAGATAAATAGGTACTGCTTTGGCCAGGAGGTAAAAGTCACTCTTGAAGGCATGAAGGCAATTCCATCAGGAAGGCATCCATGGACAACAGGCTCCTCGGCGTGGAAAAATGGAGCAACAGCATCTCCCCATGGCTGCGTCGAGCACAGCCTCCAGATGCCGTGAAAAAGAGGGAAGCCTTGCCTTTGTCTATGTATTGTCTGTCTTTGTTAATTGTATAATGGCATTGAATGTTTGCCATATATGTATTCCGTAATCTCCTCTGAGCCCCCTCGGGGAGACAGAGAGGAATATAAATAAAGTACATTATTAGGTTCTTGTGGGTTTTTTCGGGCTATAGAGCCATGTTCTAGAGGCATTTCTCCTGACGTTTCGCCTGCATCTATGGCAAGCATCCTCAGATTCAATGACTGCACGTTGCTTAAGTCACATAAGTGCCTCTAGAACATGGCTCTATAGCGAAAAAACCCACAAGAACCTAGTGATTCCAGCCATGAAAGCCTTCGACAATACAAAGTACATTATCATTATCATTATCCCAGCAAGCAAGAGTCCAAAAGTGGCAGGCTCAAACCCAGAATCTCAATCAATGGCTGATACCAAATGAGAGACTCCCCCCTGGGCACACAGAAAATGGGCGACTTGGAAGGCACTGAACAGACTGCGCTCTGGCACCACAAGATGCAGAGCCAACCTTAAGAAATGGGGCTACAAAGTGGAATCCACGACATGCGAGTGTGGAGAAGAGCAAACCACAGACCACCTGCTGCAATGCAACCTGAGCCCTGCCACATGCACAATGGAGGACCTTCCTTGCGGCAACACCAGAGGCACTCCAAGTGGCCAGATACTGGTCAAAGGACATTTAATCAACTACCAAGCTTGCAAATTCTGTGTTTTGTCTGTTGGTTTTTAGTGTTAAAAATGTAAAACAAATGTCTGGTTGCTGATGCCACGATAAATAAATAAATAAATAAATAAATAATCATTATTATCCAAATTTAACAGGCAAAATAAACATTTTGCAATATAGGAGGTGTCTTTAATAACAAACTGCAGTATAGAAACTATCTCAGTTTTATTTTTACAGATTTTTTTTACTCTACAGTGATACGACTCAAAGGGTGGAGGGCAAAATGCCTATATTTTTGTACAGAAATTGATTTTTTTTTTTGCAATGCATAGTTTCATACAGAGGTAAAATTGTCCCTGTACTTTTTTACACAAACAGTAGCTTGACCATCTTTTTGTATCTGGTCACTTACCTGTGTCTTAGGGCCCTTCAATACAGCAATATAACCCAGAATATCTGCTTTGAATTGAGTTATTTGAGTCCACACTGCCATATATTCCAATTCAAAGCAGAAAATGTGGGATTTTATTTAGCGGTGTGGAAGGGGCCTTAAAGATTTGCACAATCTGCAATTCCCCCTTCTCTTTATATGCATAGTATTGGTTAGGACTATTAGATTTCTCTAAGAAGAGGAAATGGTCTTATATGGATTTTTGGAAAGGGAAGCTTACCTTTATTAAGGACCAAGGCAGAGACATCTCCAGCTCATCCCCTTTTTGGGTATCAGCCAGCACGTCAACGACTTAAATCTAGAAATAGTTTTCTAAGATCTACAGAGGCACTCGCTGGAACACCTCAGCAAGCGAGAGTCCAAAAGTGGCAGGCTCAAACCCAGAACCTCAACCAATGGCTGATACCAAATGAGAGACTCCCCCCTGGGCACACAGAGGACTGGGCGACTTGGAAGGCGCTGAACAGACTGCGCTCTGGCACCACGAGATGCAGAGCCAACCTTCAGAAGTGGGGCTACAAGGTGGAATCCTCGACATGCGAGTGTGGAGAGGAGCAAACCACTGACAACCTACTGCAATGCAACCTGAGCCCTGCCACATGCACAATGGAGGACCTTCTTGCAGCAACACCAGAAGCACTCCAAGTGGCCAGATACTGGTCAAAGGACATTTGATCAACAACCAAACTCACAAGTTTTGTATTTTGTCTGTTTGCTTGCTTTGTTCTGTTAGAAATGTAATATAATTTGACTGGTTGTCCTGACACGACAAATAAATACCTTTATTAATGGCTTGTTTCTTTTTAAAGTACGGTGTCCTTTTGTTTGCATTTTTTCTGCAAATGACAAGAGATAATAAAAGCAAATCCAAGTGGCAGAGCCTTATGGGAAGGAAATAATTCCTATCAGAAAAGTATGATTAAGAACATAAGGATTGTTGTGAGTTTTCCAGGCTGTACGGCCATGTTCCAGAAGCCTTCTCTCCTGGCATTTTGCCCTAATCTATGGCAGGAATCCTCAGAGGTTGTGAGGTCTGTTGGAAACTAGGAAAATAGGGTTTATATATCTGTGGAATGTCCAGGGTCTGTTTGAGGTAGGTGTGGATGTTTCAATGGTCCACTTTGATTTGGAGCTTCAAGGCCTGCCTGGAGGAATCCTTTGTTGGGAGGTGATTATCTTGCCCTGATTATTTCTTGTCTGGAATTCCACTGCTTTTGATGATTGTTCTTTATTTACTGTCCTGATTTTAGAGTTTTTAATACATTCAAAAACAGGGAAATTCCAGGCAGGAAGCTATCAGGGCCAGGTAACCACTCCCAACAAAGGATTCCCCCAAGCAGTAAGAAGTCAGACCTTGAAACTGCTAGGTCATTAAATGCTAATCAAGGTGGCCAATTGAAACATTCACACCTACCTCAAACAAACAAAAATTGGGTTGTTGTAAGTTTTTCAGGCTGTATGGCCATGTTTCCGAAGCATTCTAACCTGACATTTCGGCTGTATCTATGGTAGGCATCCTCAGAGGTTGTGGCCGGAGGTTTAGCACAGCTGGTAAATCATCAGTAATGATAAGATCTATCAACCAAAAGGTTGCAAGTTTGAATCCCCGATTTGGTGTGAGCTGCCAACTTTCAACCTAGCTCATTGTTTACCTAAGCAGTTTGAAAACAGCTTTATCTGTGATTAGAGAAATTAAGTACCGCTAAAAGCAGGGGAGGTGTTTTACAACGCCATAAAGATCAGAAAATGTTGGGCAACCAAAAGGAAGGAGGAAGTCTGACGACTCTTTGTCCAGCACTCCCTGGACTCGAGCCCAACCTTCCATGGCACCTCCTTCTGTTCTGTCTGTTTGTGTATTGTCTATACAAAGCAGTGTTGAATGTTTGCTGCGTATATGTACTGTGATCCACCCCTTTGGGGCGAGAAGGGCGGGATATAAATAAAGTGTTGTTGTTATTATTATTGTGTGGTCTCACCACCTTTGAGGATACCTCACAACCTCTGAGGAAGCCTGCCATAGATGCAGGCGAAATGTCAGGAGAGAATGCTTCTGGAACATGGCCAGACAGCCCAGAAAACTCACAGCAACCCAGTGATTCCGGCGATGAAACCTTCGACAAGAGTTCTTTCTCACATCCTGAACATTTCACAGATATATCAACCTCATTTTCCTAGTTTCCACCAGACCACACAACATATGAGGATGCCTGCCATAGATGCAGGCGAAATATCAGGAGAGAATATTTCTGGAACATGGCCAGACAGCCCGGAAAACTCGCAGCAACCCAGTGATTCTGGTGATGAAACCTTCGACAAGAGTTCTTTCTCCCACCCTGGACATTCCACAGATATATAAACCCCATTTTCCTAGTTACCACCAGACCTCACAACCTCTGAGGATGCCTGCCATAGATGTGGGAGAAACATCAGGAGAGAATGGTTCTGGAACATGGCCAGACAGCCCGGAAAACTCACAGCAACCCAGTGATTCTGGCCATGAAAGCCTTCGACAATACATAAGGGAAACTATTTGACACACCCATAGTCACCTTTTAAGGTGAGAGGATGTGAAAGAAAGAAAAAACTAAGAAATTTAAAAAATCATTTTGTGAGAAATTTTAGTTCTATGGATTCTTTTTCTTCCTGCCTTTCCTCTCCTTTCAAAAAGGATATAATGATGATGCTATTGTTATGAAAGAGCTGAGGTCAGAGTGCAATCCATTTGTGGGTTCTGATCTCTCAGCTGAGCTATTAGAAATAATAATGCCTTATAAGCTCCTTCCTTTTCTAATTCTCTCTTTTTTTCACAGCTAAATCTTCAGTTCCAAAATTTAATGGCTTGCTTTAGAGAAGGCTGCGCGCGTGCAGTTCAGAGGAGTAAAAAAAAAAAAAGCCATTGCTTTTCACAGTGATAGGACTTTGAAACCATCGGAAACTTGTATTTGTTTCTCTGCATGCTTGTAGGGAATGCATAAACGAAGTATTCTGAATATTGGGTTTACAACAGAATGGTTTAAGGTAGAAGGTTCTTTTATACAATTTTTGCTACCGAAGTAGTGGAAAGAAGTTGTCATCCTAACGACCTAAGTACTGTAAATTTATATGCAAAGAATAATCTGTTTAAAATTCTGAATTAGGAATAAAGGGAAATGGAAAGGCAATAAGTATAGTTTCTTTGGAGCGTTGATTCTTCAAAGGAAGGAGGAGGTAGGGAGAGATGGGAATCCAAATACATTTTAGGGAAGAGGGAATGCCTAGCTTGAAGGGTAGTAATAGGGAAGGTTCCAGATTCGATGGGAAAACGTGGGGAACATGCCCTGTGTATTTTTGTCGACGTAACTGGATACCGTTGGGATCTCCTCTTTGTCCGTTTTCCCAGAGCTGTCTCCGGGTGCCACAAAGTGGACCGAACAATTTGTATTCCATATATCCTCCATTTGGTCCTCTTTTTCCAGGTTGGTTAGGAACTCTTTTAAAACTTGCTTGAAGATATAAACAATTTCCCAAGGCAACACATCGTTTTCTGCCAGGACCTCTCGAAATCTGCAGAGATGAGAACAGGAAAAACAACAACATCCTTTTACTATTAACTTCATTTGTTAATAGTAAACCAGAATCAATGTGTGGAGTATATGGATCAAGTCTCTGAAAGATCTCCCCTTCTATGTGCAATTCTCTCCCCTCTTCTCTTCAACATCTACATTAGACCCCTTGCTAGTTTGGCTCGGAGTTTCGACCTGGACTGCTACCAATATGCAGACGATACCCAACTCCTTCTGTGCTTGGAGCTGGAGCAACGTCAATACCAGACAATTTCACCTGTCTGGAGGCTTTCTCAAACTGGCTACGTGCTAGTAGACTGAAGGTGAACCCAGCGAAGACTGAGATTCTCTGGCATGGCTGCTCGATAGGTCTGACCCATTTGCTATCCATCTTTGATGGTGCTGCCCTATCTCCTTCACCTACCATTAAGAGCTTGGGTGTCGTTTTGGATTCGCAGCTGACAATGGAAGCTCAGGTCGCTGCTGCCAGCAAACAGGCCTTTTTCCATCTACGACAAGCGAGGCAATTGGCACCCTACCTATCTGATGAGGCTCTGGCAACAGTCATCCATGCCACGGTCACATCTAGGCTGGACTATTGCAACGCCCTGTATGTTGGCCTTCCGATGTCTACGACCCGAAAGCTCCATATTGTTCAGAATGCGGCAGCCAGGTTACTCACAAGAACACCCATGAAATGCCATATAACTCCAGTGCTGCAGCATTTGCATTGGCTTCCAACTGATTACCGTGGTCTATATAAGATGCTAGTTCTGACCTTTAAAATTTTTTTACGGCCAGGGTCCATCGTATCTTAGGGACCGTCTCTCCTTCTCCCATCATCTCCCATCATCGGAGGTCACAACAACAATCCCAACGCGACTTACTTTATATACCGGGTCCTAGAGAAGTGCACTTGGAAAGTACCAGATGCAGAGCTTTTTCCATTTCTGCCCCTGCCTTATGGAATTCCTTGCCACCCTATATGAGAGCCATGTGTGATTTAAGGCCTTTTACCCTAGCACTTAAGACCTGGCTTTTTACTAGAGCTTTTGATCTATGTTAATTTTATCAATATCTGTATGTATGTATTTTTATCCTTTGCAATTTGGCCTGTAAATCGCCTGGAGCATCTTTGATGAAGGGCGATTAATAAGTAATAAAATGATGATGGTGATGATGATGATTTGTTGTTCTCACTTTTACTCTTAATATTAGGGCAAGGATGCCATGCCCCTTATAGTTTTGTTCTTTAGGAATAAAACCAAGGATAGGAATAAAATGGTATATTTGGATGCTCTACAACAGTGGAAACGGCATTTTTTCCCTGTATTAAGTTGTCCGAGCAAATTGATTTGAAGTGACGTTGCCCTCGAGTCTTTTTCTGGGCTCAAAAAGAGAGCATAGATTTGTTCTGTTTTCGTATGAAGGAAAATTCTATACATTGCCTTTTGAGGGGAATGACATGTATAGAATTGGAAATAATTTTAAAGGACAACTTTGAAGACTTACCGTATATACTCGAGTATAAGCCTAGTTTTTCAGGCCCTTTTTTAAGCTGAAAAAGCTCCTCTCGGCTTATACTTGAGTCAAGGTTATTTATTTTACTCTGTTATTAATATTATTTTATTAAATGTATTGTTTTGCTCTATTTATTATTGTTGTTGTTATTACATTTATTATTTTACTCTATTATTACAGTTATTATTACATTTCCATTATTTTACTCTATTATTTTTATTACATTTTTTATTTTACTCTTTATTATTATTATTATTGGAAGGATACATAAGCACATTTACATTGAAGAAGGAAGGTTACAATAATGGTTTAATCAGAGTTGGACAGTCTTATCTTAAATTAAAGTTTTATGTAAATATTCAAAAACTTTTAACTTATTGATGCCTCAATTAATGTAATGTTATTGGTATCTATTTTTATTTTTAAATTTACCAGTATCTTCTGCATTTCCCACCTCGGCTTATACTTAAGTCAATATGTTTTCCCAGGTTTTTGTGGTAAAATTAGATGCCCCAGCTTATATTCGGATTGGCTTATACTCGAGTATACACATTACATTATTTTACTGTATTATTTTTATTACATTTATTTTACTCTATTATAACATTTAATATTTTCTCTATTGTTACATTTATTGTTTTACTCTATTATTATTACATTTAGTATTTTTCTCTATTGTTATTATTACATTTATCATTTCACTCTTTGTTATTACATTTATAATTTTACTCTATTATTGTCAAAGGCTTTCATGACCGGAATCACTGGGTTGTTGTAGTTTTTTTCAGGCTATATGGCCATGTTCTAGAGGCATTCTCTCCTGACGTTTCGCCTGCATCTATGGCAAGCATCCTCAGAGGTAGTGAAGACTGTTGGAACTAGGAAAATGGGTTTATATATCTGTGGAATGACCAGGGTGGAACAAAGAATTCTTGCCTGTTGGAGCTAGGTGTGAATGTTTCAACTGACCACCTTGATTAGCATTTGATGGCCTGGCAGTGTCTGGGGCAGTTTTTGTTGAGAGGTGATTAGATGTCCCAGATTGTTTCCTCTCTGTTGTTATCATTATTACATGTATTATTTTACTCTATTTATTATTATTTTTACATTTATTATTTTGCCCTCTTTATCATTATCACATTTGTTATTTTACTCTATTATTATGTTTATTTTTTACCCTGTTTATTATCATTACATTTATTATTTTACTCAATTATTGTTGTTATTATTATATTTCCATTATTTTACTCTATTATTATTAATTTTTATTACATTTATTATTTTACTCTCTTTATTATTATCGGAAGATACGTAAGCACATCTTCACTGAAGAAGGTTGGAATAATGGTTTAATCAGAGTTGGACAGTTTTTTCTTAAATTAAGTTTTATGTAAATATTCAAAAACATTTAAACTACTGATGTAATTTTATTTGTATCTATTTTCATTTTGAAATTTGCCAGTAGCTGCTGCATTTCCCACCCTTGGCATATACTCAAGTCATTATGTTTTTCCCAGTTTTTTGTGGTAAAATTGGTGCCTCGGCTTATATTCGGGTCAGCTTATACTTGAGAATATACGGTAATTTATGAGCAGGAAAAAAGTTGCTCTTAACAAAATGTAGATCTGGGTTGAATCTTAGCACTTAGTTTTATAATGGCAATTGCATATGTTAAAGCTAGACACACTGAATAAAGACATTTTCCGAGGAAATGTCAAGCAATAAAAGGGAATTCACCAGCTCTCTGAATAATAAAGACCATTTAATATGTAATTGGGTGTTTGATCAGTGTGCACTGAATTATTTTGCAAAGGATTTATTTCCACAGGAATTTGGAGATGAAGGTTTTTTGCTGTTGCATTCTGTCAACAGATACTTAAAAGTACATCAGCACTCGGCTTTAAAGCCGGATATCTATAATCCTATGCATTTTAACTGGGATGCCTTGTTGATCTCATGGGAACTTTTGAAAATAGTTGTATGTAATTGCATTGGAAGGTTGTATAGTTGTAAACGTACACAGCAGAAGGCAAGTATCACTGAACATATATTTCCAAGTCAACATGTTTGGAAACATGCTGCCAAACTATAGTGTACTTGCTTGGATATATTTTAAGGGAAATGACTTTGAAGTGCCAGTAAACATACTTAATCTGAAGCTGCAAAAGTTTGTTTTCCTCTCCCCTAAAGCTTTTGAAATACTAGATTGATAAAATGGGTTTACCTGCTGAGAATGATTCCAGTTTGACACGGTTGGATTTGCGAGCAGAGAACTTCGAGCTGCCTCTGTTCAGTCGCTGGGATAGTTATCTGTGGACTTTGGGAGCTCTTCAGCCAGTTGTAATCCACACCGGTCTTCTGAACTTTTTGTTCATTTTCTATCTCCTGGATCAGTCGCTCACGCTCTTTCAGATGCCATTTCAGTTCTCTCAGAAGTGTTTTCGTCACAACCTCTGAGCCGGGGTATTGCCCAGTCTTGTACGAATAATTCTTTGGCCATTTCATCCAGCCAAAGAATGGCATTTTGTCAGCTGAGTTTAAAACAGAGAGAAAGAGAAGAACTACATTTTGGCATTACAGAAGTAAATTGATAGATTTCTTTGCAGCTCTTCTTCTAGGTTTGTTTGATAAATGTTATTATTTTATCTATTCCAACCTGCTAGAACAATGTTTCTCAACCTGGGGGTCGGGACCCTTGGGGTAGGTCGCGAGGGGGTGTCCGAGGGGTCGCCAAAGACCATCAGAAAACACAATATTTTCTATTGGTCATGGGGGTTCTGTGTGGGAAGTTTGGCCCAAGTCTATCATTGGTGGGGTTCAGAATTCTCTTTTATTGTAAGTGAACTATAAATCCCAGCAACTACAACTCCCGAATGTTATGGTCTATTTCCCCTAAACTCCACCAGTGTTCACATTTTGGCATATTGAGTATTCGTGCCAAGTTTGGTCCAGATTAACATTTTGGCATATTGAGTATTCGTGCCAAGTTTGGTCCAGATCTATCATTGCTTGTGCTCTCTGGATGTAGGTGAACTATAGCTCCAAAACTCAAGGTCAGTGTGCACCAAACCGTTCCAGTATTTTCTGTTGGTCATGGGAGTTCTGTGTGCCAAGTTTGATTCAATTCTATCATTGGTGGAGTTCAAAATGCTCTGATTGTAGGTTAACTATAAATCCCAGCAACTACAACTCCCAAATGACAAAATCAATCCCCCCCCAACCCCACCAGTTTTCAACTTTGGTATTGTATCGGGTATTTGTGCCAAATTTGGTCCAGTGAATGAAAATAAGTCCTGCATATCTTGTATTTATACTGCAATTCATAATAGTAGCAAAATTACAATTATGAAGTAGCAACGAAAATAATTGTATGGTTGTGTATTACCACAACATGAGGAACTGTATTAAGAGATCGTGGCATTAGGAAAATTGAGAACCACTGTGCTAGAATATTACATTTACTACTATGGTTATGAGTATGTCGAACTCAGTGAGTCTTACGTTTGATGAAACGTGCATATCACTATTGGGTAAAACTTAAAACCCAAGTTTAAGCATCCCATCTTCAGAAATCAGTGGAAGTCAATTGCATTTTCATTTGGCTGTATTATTTCTCTGGCATGTGTTTAACCTTTCACAACATATTCAATTTTTCAACAAACCCAAACCTAAGATTTTTTAAAAATATATTTTTTAAAAATAATGTTTAACTCTTCACAACATATTCAAACTTTCAACAAACCCAAACCTAAGATATATATATATTTGCTTACTAGTTTTAAAATGCGAATAATGAATCATGTATTATGCATATGCAACTATGATAGCTCACTGTGGTTTGTAAACAATTGCAAAGTAGTTTAAGCATGATATCCAGATCAGTTCATTTCTAACTATTGCTAGAAGGCAGTCGTTGTTTACATTTGCTTGCTGTACCTGATGAATCTCACTTTCTCTTTCTTTGTATATCTCCTATGCTTTAATTGTCATTTAATAAGTTAGTTTAATGGTTCGCATACTTACTGTACTTGTTGAAAGGAGTATCTGTTGCTGAGAAGATTGTGGACGGCTTCTGCTTGACGTGAATATAGTTTATTCCAGCATATTTCGTTCTACAGGTTCAGAAAGGGAGACGAATATTCCTCATTCTTCCCAGTTTAAAGAAGTGCATTTTTGGTGGCACATGGTCTTCGGAAAGTCTTTCCTCAAAGTCCACTTCTAGCTTTTGAATACCAGAGTTTTCTTTTTTTCTTTTTGCTTGTAATTCCTCCTGTATGCGAGGGATTTTAGTTTCAAAGCACAGACGATAATTTCAGGAGCGTTGTAGGGCTGCTAAACGCATCCGAAGGTATTGTTGGTACCCAGATGAATAGCGATACTCTGAAGTCACGCCAGATGCTCTCCCAGCTACAGTTAAGACTGTCGCTTGGATGATGTGATGCTTGGATGTGCATAGCTGTAGGTCACAGTTTAGTGCTGTATTTTTTTTAATGCCTGTGGTGCTCTAAAAATAACCACGTTGCTTTCGTTGTCGAACTAAACTTTGAGGCCATTTTGATGCTGGGTTCATGGGAAAAGGGGGGGGGGGCATTGTTCCTCCTATTAGACTCAAGGGAGGGCAGAAGGGGGGTGGAGAAGATCTCGAATCCAGCTCCTGTGTTTACCTATTCATAGATACGCATTTTAAAACCAACAAAGCCTCGTGAAAGCTCCTCTCACTTGGATTTCTGCCAGTTCAAGTCTACTTACAAGGCACTGTAATGGGGGGAGAATCTTAGACTTTACTTTCCCTGATTAAATTAATCTCTCCGCATTTGCGCAGTTCTTATTTATAGTCCACAGCTGTTAGCAAGTTTGTGAAGGGTTTTTTTTTTATTTTGAAAGAAGTGAAGGTATTTAAAGAAGCTCTCTCTGCCTCATTGGCATCTCCCTCCAAACCACGAAAGACTTAAAAATGCAAAATACAAATCCTATCTAATGGACAGGATTAGGAAGTGAAACACGTATTGGCTGCCTTATACTGGGTCATCTGTTTGTACTTCTAGCTCAATGTTGCCTGTTCTGATTTGCAGTTGCTCTTGAGTAGTGTCTCTCCTATTGTTGTATGCTGTCAAGTTGATTCAGCATTGTGGCAACTTTATCCTTAGGTTTCCTTGGTATGATTCATTCCAATGAGGTTTTCTCTAAAATTGAGATAGAGTGACTTGGCCAAAGTTACTTCATGGGTTTCCATGGCTGATTAGGGATTTGAACCTTGGTCTTATGAACCTTTGTGCCATGCTGCTACTCCTTACCTTTTAACGTCAACGACTTAAATCAAGAAATAGTTTTCCAAGATCTACACCCCAGCAAGCGAGAGTCCAAAAGTGGCAGGCTCAAACCCAGAATCTCAATCAGTGGCTGATACCAAATGAGAGACTCTCCCCTGGGCACACAGAAAACTGGGCGACTTGGAAAGCGCTGAACTGACTGCGCTCTGGCACCACGAGATGCAGAGCCAACCTTCAGAAATGGGGCTACAAAGTGGAATCCACAACATGCGAGTGTGGAGAAGAGCAAACCACTGACCACCTGCTGCAATGCAACCTGAGCCCTGCTACATGCACAATGGAGGACCTTCTTATAGTAACACCAGAGGCACTCCAAGTGGCCAGATACTGGTCAAAGGACATTTAATCAACTACCAAGCTTGCAAACTCTGTGTTTTGTCTGTTTGTTTGTTTGTTTGTTTTAGTAAAAATGTAATACAAATGTCTGGTTGCTCCTGACATGATAAATAAATAAACTGGAGATGTCGGGCAACCTCAATCCTTTGGCATGCAAAATCCAGTGTTTTATCTAGTGAATGATGGTGTGGCACACTAGGTCAGGAACGCCTTTTCACCCAACAGCAAACAGAGTCCATTAGTGGCTAACTACAGAAGTTTAATTACAAAAGGCATATACAAAAGGGAAAATGGGCATTTTCCAGAAGACAGTGGGAAAGGCGCTATAAAATATCAATAGTCCAAAGATCTCAAGATCAATAGTCCAAGATTGTAATATCCATGAAATCCAAGGTAGCAAGACACATGGAATACCAAAAAGCAAGGTACATAAAATCCAAAATAGCAAGGCATGTGAAATCCATAATCACAAGATACATGAAATCCAAGAGTCAAAGCATAGGCCAAAAATCTGTAGCATGAAAGAACATAGGCAAACTTGAGAGCTGTTCATGAACTTGAACAGGCCCAGCTTACCTGTCCGAATGTATCTATAATAATAATAATAATAATAATAATAATAATAATAATAATAATAATAATTCATTTATACCCTGCCACCATCTCCCCAAGGGGACTCGGGAGATATGAACCATCTAGGAGCTTAAGATCGTCTGGGGAGAACCTGCTTCCGATCCTGCCTGCATTGCAAGCGTGATTGGCGGGGACGAGGGACAGGGCCTTCTCAGTGGTGGCCCCCCACTATGGCATTCTCTCCCTGAGGATATTAGATCATCCCCCTCCCTCCTGACTTTCCGAAAAAAGGTAAAAACTTGGCTCTTTGAGCAAGCTTTTGAGAATGCAGCGGAATAGATGACATGAAACTATGAATGATGAACATGGATTGGCCAAACGATGTTACTGGCAAACGATTTTAACAAGATGACATCAGTGACTACATGTTTTAATGGGTTTTTATATATGTTTTTATATTGTTATGTTGACATCTAATTGTGCCTATCTGTAACCCTCCTTGAGTCGTTATATGGTTGAGAAAGGCGGGCTGTAAATGTTGTTAATAATAATAATAATAATAATAATAATAATAATAATAATAATAAGTTAAAACGAAGTTGTCTGCTCTAAAGAGCCCAGGGACCCAGCATCTAATTTAAGCTCAAACCTGACCAAACAGACATAAGATCATATTTTTGGCACCTGCGATTCAAGGACTATTTCTTATGAAATGTTTCTGACCTTCTAATTAACCATTCTTTAGGTTGTTGTAGGTTTTTTCGGGCTATATGGCCATGTTCTAGAGGCATTCTCTCCTGACGTTTCGGCTGCATCTATGGCAAGCATCCTCACTACCTCTGAGGATGCTTGCCATAGATGCAGGCGAAACATCAGGAGAGAATGCCTCTAGAACATGGCCATATAGCCCGAAAAAACCTACAACAACTCAGTGATTCCGGCCATGAAAGCCTTCGACAATACATTAAACTTTTCTTTAGCTTGCTCTGAGCAGAGCCCTAATCTCATATCACAGGGCAACTCTCCATCTTCTGAAGGCTAAGAGGACCGGACAGCCTGATTCTCAAAAGAAGCATCTGCTATCTCTTCTGCAGTTGTTGGCCCTGGCTTGTCTCTGTGATCTACGGCATGCATTTCTGTCTGTGTTTTCAACCTGAGGAACAGACACAGACTCAGTGAAATCTCATCCTCTGAGTCAGAATCCCCAATATCCTCTACATCATGCTCTGAGCCTTCATATAGAATCATAGAGCTAGAAGAGACCACAAAGGTTATCCAATCCAACCCCCTTCGGCTATGCAAGTACACAGAGTCAAAGCCTTCCTGATAGATAGTCATCCAGCCTCTGTTTAAAGACTCTCCCAATCCCTTAGGTAGCATATGTCATTATTGAATAGCTTTTACCTTCAGGAAGTTCTTAATGTTTAGGTGGAATCTCTCCCCCCGATATCTGATTTCTTCTTGAATCCCAATGGCCAGAACTAGACACAGGATTATTCCAGGTGAAGTCTGACCAAAGCAGAATAGAGTGGGGCTATAGAATCATAGAGTTGGAAGAGACCTCATGGGCCATCCAGTCCAACCCCCTGCCAAGAAGCAGGAAAATTGCATTCAAAGCACCCCTTATAGATGGCCATCCAGCCTCTGTTTAAAAGCTTCCAAAGAAGGAGCCTCCACCACACTCCGGGGCAGAGAGTTCCAATGCTGAACGGCTTTCACAGTCAGGAAGTTCTTCCTAATGTTCAGGTGGAATCTCCTTTCTTGTAGTTTGAAGCCATTGTTTCAAGTCCTAGTCTCCAGGGAAGCAGAAAAGAAGCTTTTCTCCCTTCTCCCTATGACTTCCCCTCACATATTTATACATGGCTATCATGTCTCCTCTTAGCCTTCTCTTCTTCAGGCTAAACATGTCCAGCTCTTTAAGCCACTCCTCATAGGGCTTGTTCTCCAGACCCTTGATCATTTTAGTCACCCTCCTCTGGACACATTCCAGCTTGTCAATATCTCCAATTGTGGTGCCCAGAATTGGACACAATATTCCAGGTGTGGTCTAACCAAGGCAGAATAGAAGGGTAGCATGACTTCCCTGGACTTTGCTCAGTCTAAACACTATACTCTTATTGAGGCAGCCTAGAATTACATTGGCTCTTTTAGCTGCCATATCACACTGTTGATTCATGTTCAGCCATCAAATGCTAATCAAGGTGGTCAGTTGAAACATTCACACCTAGCTCCAGCAGACAAGAGTCCTTTGTCCCACCCTCGTCATTCCACAGATATATAAACCCCTTTTCCTAGTTCCAACAGACTTCACTACCTCTGAGGATGCTTGCCATAGATGCAGGCGAAACGTCAGGAGAGAATGCCTCTAGAACATGGCCATATAGCCCGAAAAAACCTACAACGACCCAATTTTGTGCATGAATTGAAAGATCTCCATATTAAGCCATTAGAAAGCAAAGGTGTCTCTATCTCAGCCAGCCATGTGGACAGTTTTGAATTTGGAGTATTTGGGGTTTCCAGATAAGGATGCTTAGCTTTGTATACACTTCCAGACTTTTTGCACATCTCAGAACAGTTTTACCACCTCTTATATTTGATTATATGTTACAAACCTGAACAGCAGATCTGTTCAGGTTCCCTTACTCTTCTTGCAATTTTCATTGACAATATTCTCTTTCAAAAATATTAGTTTTTCCCGGTCACCCTTTTCAAATGGGTTTTATTGAAATCTTGTAGAAAAATGGTCGCGCTCTTTTGTTGTGGGTGTCAGGCAACATAAATGGCAATGTGTGCGGCTGTTATTAAAGCTGATCTTACTTATATGTTGGAAAAATCCAGGTGTCACTATTCATCATCCTCACTTGGAAGGTTTTCACATTGCATTGTATATAGCGCAATAAGAAGGGGGGAAGGAACTGGACGTATAATGACAGAACTGCCTTTGCAGATTTTCAGAGGAAATTAAAATGTTCCCTGCCACCTCTTCCCTTCTGTAGTTGTCAGGTCACTGCACCCTTGCTAGTGTACATTTGGCAAAAATAAAAAGCATTGGAAAGGAAAGACTGTGGCCTAAATCCAGTTGTTTGTCCTCGACTGAATTAGAACTAATGATTCAGTGGGTAAATTCCATTGGTTCAGTAGGCTTGCTCTAGTTGCGGCTAATGATTTTATTTAGGCTAATGCCTTGGATAATATAATGTTTATTTTTTAAAAAACCCACCAAGATGATTGGGTAAAATTTTGGAATATAACTATTTAGTGAGATATATTTTCTTCAAAATGTATTTAGCCAGGAGGGGGAATTATACATTCCTGACATTCCTTTCTTCCTCTTCTTT